GTATATTTAATATTTTAAAAGTATTTACTTACAGTAATTACATTATTTTTCCAACATTCATATCAGGAAATTGATACATTTATTGATACATACATTAATCCCATAAATAAAATTCATTATTATATCATGAATTATTTGAAAGTTTAAGTATATATTTTATGTAGAATATTGTAAATGTTTAATCCTAAAAAAAAAAAAAAAAATGGATAAGGATTTCAGATTCAGGTTGTACTCACCTCCTTTAGTCGTGTCAGACTTGTTGAATGGTGGGATCATGATGAATGAAGACAGAGATCACATCTCAGGTCGCCCTCACTCTGCGCTTCTCATCTGTCACGAGCTGTGTGCGCCCTGCCTTACCTGTGGGACTGTGTGTGTGTGTGTGTGTGTGTGTGTGTGTGTGTGTGTGTGTGAGAGATACAGTAAACAGAGGATTAAACAAACTACTGTTAGAACATCTGAGAGAGGTATTTGCCTGTCGTCGTGTGCCAGTGTTTAACTGATCGTCTCTGCAGGTTTTTACTGTCCTGTAAGTGGATTACTATAATAAATCTGGAGACTTTATTACCTGAGCACTTCCCAGAATTATTGCATATGATCTCATCATCAGACAGAAGCAGACTGATAACCACAATGTCAGCAGCTTGAATCCTTTGATTGCCTGGGATGATATGGACAAGGTGGGACTCCATTATGAATTTATTTGAATTTATAAAAGACACTTACCCCGAGATGCTGAGATGCTTGTTTCACTGTTTCCTGTTCTGCTGTGTCCTGCCTTATCATACCTCATACACAGTATATTCTGTAAGCGTTTACCACAGTTCAGCTTTACTGGATTAGTGGTTTATTCACACATGTTGGGGATAGAAGTGCAACCTTGTGAAATACTTGCAAGGCTCAAATGCAGCTTAGACTACAGCTTGGCTTCTTTAAAACAGGATGTAGTCTGATACCATAAAATTATAAACCAGTTTACAATTTGAGCTTTTTGACTGTATTGTATTTTGATTGTCACTGTTTATTGATTAATTCATAGTTCTTATGAAGGCATTGTGGAATTGAATTTATACTGAAAATGACAGCTTTACTCGGTATGTTCAGTAGTTGAGTTCAGAAAAATACAGTCTGATGAAATTAGTTTAAATAGAAGTGGGTTCTGTCGCTACATCTGCTGCATTGAGAGTCTTTTAAAAATCAGGATTTCACAGGTGAAAATAATCATGACAATGTGCACTAAATTCAGACAGATTAGGCATTTCAAGAGAATTCAATACAAAGGACAGGAGATGACAGTTAAAACTATATGTCCATAACTCAGGATGGGGCTCAAAATGGTGCAATACTATCCACTTAAAGACTAGCAAAAAAATTGAAAGCAAGGGGGTTTTTCTCAGAAAAACCCTAAAAGCATGAAAAAAGTTGGGGAAAATCTGAAAGGGGGGTGTTATGTAACTGCAATGCAAAAAAAGGCACCCTGTGTAACCGGTGGTTATCTGCATATTTTATACCAGTGCACTTACCAGTCAGTTCTCTGGTGTGCGTTCATGTATCACCACTAGATGGAGACACGGCTACATGGTCGTCATTCATTTGGAAACAGCTTGAGTAGAGGTAGGTATGATCTCATCCCAAACAGGACGTTATAAATAGCATTGGAGGAATGTTACAGTAAATGCTGCAAATTAGTATTCAAAATGTAATTGCCCTCTTTACCAGCTTCACCAGCTTAGTCTATGTGACTGGGTGTGTTTGCAGTGTGAGTGAGAAAGAGATATAACAACTGTCTCCCTCTCTTCCCTCTGTTTGTTTTCAGCCCGTGTCTGTGTCACAGACTGTATATAAAGGTTTGTGTGAGTGGCTGCCTTGTCCATGTGTTGTTTTTGTTGTACCCTGCTGGGCTGAGCCTCGCAGGAGGCGGTGCTCATGCATCACTCCTTATCGGGGTCCTGGGCTGTCGGGAGGTGCGGTGACTCAAACAGCTTGGCTGAATAGTCTTGAATCACCCCCTTGTTAAATCCGGCCCATGTAGGCTAGGAGAGGCCGGCCGTGCTTGCTGGCGCGGCATCCTGCTTTAAAAGTCAGATCCGCCGATACACACTGTGCACCTACATCTAAGCCAGGGCTCATTGGCACTGGAGGCAATTAAGTTCACCCATGCAAGTCAATTCAATTATGCATCTGTGATGAGCCCTGAAATACCACAGAGCAAGACGTATGGTGTGGCCTCGCACTAGGCCACTTTGGTTTTGCTTCAAGCTCCCAAAACTTTGAGGATGAATATCGTCATCAAGGGAACATTCAAGGTTTTATTCTCTTTTCAAAAGCTCACAATACAAAAATGAAGCAAGTTAAATGAATATTGCAGATCTATTGTTAACTAAGATGTCTTTTCTGTATGATGTATTTGAACTTAGAACAGGAGGTGCATTCATTATAGCTGCACTTTGACTCAACAAAGATCTTCATCGCCGTGGGAATCTCAACATCTTTGTTTTTATGTGCACAGCAAAAAAAAAAAACTAAAAGTGAGCAAGCTGAGATTGAACAGCATGTAAAACTATTGGAGAGTAAACCAGCCAGGCTGTAATAGGAAAATAAATGGAGCATTCTGCTTCGCTATCTTTCTGTCTCTGTGTGTGTGTGTGTGTGTGTGTGTGTGTGTGTGGACACAAACACAATGAGCCCTCTGAGGAGCTGTAACTCAAAGGGACGCTGACTGAGCCGGAGGAGAGAAAAACAAAGAGTTGTTCCTGGGAAGATGGCTGCTTCTGGCACCAGATCACAGCTTGCAGAGACAAAGCAGAGGGAGAGCCTCGAAGTGTGTGTGTGAGCAATATGTAAAGCAGTGGAAATGGGGGTGTATAGCCAAGCTCACGCATACAGGATCTCTTAATTAATTAACAGTCAATTGAGTACCTTTGAAGCGTTTGATGGTTGGGTTTCACCGCATGAGGACCTCAACATGCAGTTCTACTCAACCTGTTAAAAAGGTTGCATAATGTCCTCTGCGGCTGTAGAGGGAGCTTTGTCAAGTCTGTTGCTATGTCCAAAGTCACACCCTTTTTACTTTGTAGTGCACCACATTTACTGTCCGTCATTTCATTTGAGTGTCCAAATTTTGAGTGTGTAAATGTGCCCTCAAAAATTCTACACTGGAACAAAAAAAGTAGTGTCCGTGGCATCTACACTATTTTCCGTTAGCAATCCGTCGATGCAATGGTCTGCATATGCAAACATTAGCGTTGTGTGTCCCTACAGGTGTCAGGGATGAAGCAGAATAACGACAATTAGAAAGTCATCTCAGTTTTCTGCTCACAACTGACTAAACTATTTAGTGTCTATTGTACAGGGAGTAGGGAATGAGTGAACAACAGGGTGATTTCAGACACAGCCTGAGAAAATAACCCTGATGATGTCATAGTGATGTCATCAGGGTTATTTCTGCCTGGGCCCGGAGACTAAACATTCATAACAGAAAAACAGGGTCAAACAGGAGACTCTTGACGGGCCGCTATGACCTTCAAGACGAGGTTCATGAGACCGACGGGGGTAGCCAAGTTAGCACTACAGCTAGTGAACCAATGTGTTAGCGTGTTTACTGCCGGCTGACCACTGCTGGTTTTGCAAGCTGTTACAGTGTTATCTTACAGACCACAGACCACACCAGCTCTTGGCTTGACATTGTTTTTTTGTGGGGGTAGGTTTTTGAAAGAATCCCAAGGGACATATTTCAGTACGAATTGATTATTGAGAATGACCTTTGTTGTCTGCTAAGGCATCGAGGTCTGTCCTCTGTTCTCTGGACAGTGTGACCTGAGCTGAGCTGAGCTGAGTTTTTGTGACTCGGGACTAGAAATCAGGAAATCTTAATCTTGTTTGGTTAAATATTAACTATTTTTTGCTCTTTTTAAAAACAATCTGTGTTTTAGTGTTTAGTGTAGTGTCTTAGTGTTCCAACTTAATGAAAGTACAATCGTAAATCTCAGAGGAACCCTGTTCATTGATTTTTCTTTTTCTTTTCAAATCCTATTTGACCCAGGTCTGAATGATGTCGGATATAACAGACAGCCAAAAATGTACCAAGTTTATTTCCTTTTGTGTTGAAGGTAGATCAAGGAGTCCGACAGCTGTTGTGCCATGACATACTTACCTTATAGCATCACACATGTCAATTTTCACATCTCAGTCATTCAAACTCATTCATACTGCACTTAATCCTTTTTGCATCCTACTCTCACCAGGAAAAAAAATGTGAACCCTTGAATTAAAGACATAAATGTTTTTCTGTTTGTCATAAGGAGCAGTCAAATAACAATTGGTCTGTCACTGTGTTTAGAGCGAGCCACAGAGGCACTAAAGGCACCAGCTGTAGTCTTTTAAAGGTACAACAACAAGCTAATAGTGGTATAATAAACCTCATTGTCTTCATGAGTTCTGCTGAGCGCTGCCACCAGAGGACATGCTCGTGTGATTATGTATTCTGTGCAGAAGGCGGCGTATCCGAATCAATCTCATGCTCTGCCAGAGAGATATTTCTCCATAATTTGATTCCAAGCCAGATCTGTGTAACAAAAAAAAAAAAAAAAAAAAAAAAATGAAGCACTACAGGTCACAAATGTTTGAATAATTTCTCTAATCACGCAGAACTCGCATCATGAAACACAAGCGAGCATCAGTCGTCTGACAGCATGCCCACCAGATGCATGAAATGATGTGCATGTAGAATATTTTCTGTTGGGGTTGATGATGACAATAGTGACTGTTGGAATTGGTCAGGAAAAGACAATTACTTCAGGGTTGTGGGAGTGACACCTCAAAGTGGTCTTTAATCTTAATTTCATTGCCTAAAGGGCACCTGTCTGACAGACTAGGACAGTATTGATCTATGTGACTAATTTATTTACTTTCATCTTCATTTTCGTGGGCACACATGTTCGCAGGTTGACATGCTGTTTGAACCGCCACTGACAGCAGTGTCCTTGTCATGCTCCCTTTAGGTCGATACCTGCGCCTGAAAATGTTCCGCGAGGATCATGGCTCCTGGATGACCATGTTCTTCAGCACCATCCTCTTCCTCTTCATCTTCTCACACATCTACAACCTTTTCCTGCTGATGGCTGGGAGCATGGAGTAAGCCATTCAATCTCTCTCTCGCTCTCTCTCTTTCTCTTCCTCTGCCCCGTTTCCCTCATTCTCTGCTTCCCATTTGTTAGACACTGTACGCTCCCCTTTGGCTGGCGTGATTGATCTAAACGTCTCGCCTGAACAGAGACCTGATACCAGCCTGATTAATCAGCCCAGACTTTAAATCACAGGTAGGGGCAGGCGAGGGGAGGGTGGTTAATCCTGAAAGATCACCTTCAGCACCTGCACTTATTCTCCCATGATCTTGACTTATTTTTTGACACCTCTCTGGCTGAAAACCAAAATGCCTTTGCCATGTTTCTCTCAGTTTGTGCCTGGGTTTGTGCCCCTGTTGCTCCGATTTACCTGCCGAGAAACCGCCGTGCACAGCAGTGACACCCACACATCAAGTCGCTGACAGGAATCCGTTTATGCATTTGCAATGTGTCCGTCTAGAGGAAGGAAAACATGCCCTTGAAGCCAGCCATCCAGACACGAGGTCGCCGTGAGGTGATTTACCATTTTGTTTGTCTGAGCTGTACCAAAAAAAAAAAAAAAAAAAACAGTGTGGCAGCTGTCCATTCAGGTACAAGCTGTCAAGAGGGAGGCCAGGGCTGTAATGGGATTTGTCTATACAATGCTGCTTTCCCATATTAACAACCAGCATCACCTATCCATAAGGTGCAGGCAGATGAAGGCTATTAGCTAGCAGCCAAGGTATTTGTGTTTTTCTACGGCGAGAGGGATGAGCTTGTATAATCAGCCCATCTGTCACTCTGGCCAGCGCCGTGACACCGGCATCCATCTTGTCCGCTCTCTCTGGTCGGCCGAGAAAAAGGAAGCGAACGGCTGAGCGCAGGGGCAGGTCCGCCGAGACGATAAATGTTGCTTGCTCAGGGAAAAGTTACACTTGCGGAGGCCCTCGGTGCATCTGTCACAAAGAGGATTCCTTTCTTTTCCCCACTGCCTCTCATTTCAGCCTTGAAATGTCAAGAAAAGGGGCCCTTTTTAGTCTGTCAGTGCATGTTTTTTTTTTTTTTTTTTGCCAGGAGTGTTTCTCTAGATGATATCCGGAGAAAAATAATGAGTTACTCAGACGCTTTGAGAGACATAACATATAATTTATATCAGTCCAACATGTGCAAGTCACACCGTCTGCTTTCATATTAGCCGCATCAGTTGTCCAGATATAGAAAGTGGCAACCATAACAGCTTATTAAACAATTACACTGGCTGACACGACACTAAGACTCCGTCCGGAATTATTTGTTGTGCACTGACATCAGTTATTCAACGCTGTAAAGCTCTCGTGGCAAAGACAGATGGTGCTGTTGTAAAGCGAGTGAACCTAACCCTGCTAAGGCACCTGGTCTTCTTCTCTGGACTCCACAGACCCCCAAACCCACCAGCTCCCTCCCTTGCCCTCCCTCCCTCCCCTGTCCCTCTTTCCCGCTTGTTTTCTTTCTGCTCCAGCAGTGTGTCCACCAAGTACCCGGGCCCTGCCAAAAACCATTAGTGTTCACATCTCTGTTCAAGACCGACATGTAAGAGCAGTGTTCACACTCTGCCAGGATGCCCCTCAGAAGACTCTGGGCTCTGGGCTGCGATAGCATGAATGCAGCAGAGGTGACGGAGGAGGCTGGGAGGGGAGGGAGGGGAGGGAGGCGGAGGGACGGGAGTCCGGGGCGGTGGGGGTGGGGGGTGGGGGTTGGAGAAGTGCTCCAGCCCTGATGATGCAGTGAAACTTAAGCCTTTGATCTATTGCCCAAACTTATATGCATGCACCCCCCCCCCCCCCCCCCTCCAACCATTCCCTCGCCCCGCAGCTAGGCTGTTGTACTTTTCTCTTTTGCCACAGCACAAAGGAAAAGTACAATATCCCTTTGTGGCTGCAGCTGGCCCTCTGTGGGAATGAATGGTGTTTTTCCTTTTCATTTGTGCTGAAAGAACAAGCCACTGTGAGGTGTTATTACTGCCAAAGGTTTTTAAAGGGTAGGTATTTTGGCACGGGTTAGCTGGCTTTGACATCTAGCCATGATGGTGCACTGCAGGGGATGCTCTTCTGGTGGCTACACAGGGCACCCCCCCACCCACCCACACACACACACACACACACACACACCAAACACATATTGCTCACGTCTCGCACTTCGCTCAACTTAGCTGTCAGAGCATGTATGTGTATGTGGGAGAGTGTGTGTGTCTGTGTGTGTGTGTGTGTGTGGCGTGGTAGGATGGAGGTCTGGCATCTGTCTCCCTGCTGTCTCCCTGACCTGATGCTGTATGCTGCCTGTGCCCTTCGCTCATTAATATGCTTTAATTTTCTCTGACCTTTCAGTCCGTCTTGAGCTTGATTTAATTAAAACTAGCGATACGTCCACAAGGAAAGGAGATAAACTCCGCCATCAGGACAGTAAACAATCGCTGATAAGAGCATGTACATCTTTTTGGATGAGAAGTATTTATTCATGATTAGTCGTGTAACATCAGTTCATCAGAGCCATTATCTCTCAGCTCAGAGAGATTTCCAGACTGTGTAATCTTACACATGTCCAACAGCGCGTTAGCCAATATTTAAACAGCCACTTCCAGGTCAACAGCTATCAACCTGTTACCTGGCTTATGTCATATGAGGGAGAAAAAGCCCTGTCCATCATGGCTCCCCGGGAGCTGTAATCCACACTTGTTACCAAACCCTCACATCTGGGCTATTTGCATTTTAATGTAACTGTCAGATTAAGAGGGGGCTGTTTGTGTGAAACCAGGGGAGTGTGACCGCCCAGGGAGTTTGACGGGCTTCATGAATGTTCTGTCACGCCGAACAATCCCATTCCGCCATCTTACGGCGGCATTACCAAACGAAATCAGCCCCTAATTAGATGGTGTTATTTAATTAAGACGGCCCAATGCGTGGCGTACACATTAATCATGACTAATTTAGAGAAAGGGGGCTGGTAAAGTATGTGAAGGTGGAGGGAAGAGGGGAGGTAGGGAGTGTGTGTGGGGAAACCACTGAGGAACTGTAGTGGGACTGGGACAGTAAAGCTGTGAAATGATGTCTATACTTCTTCTGTACGTTACTCAGTAGAGGAATAAATTGATGGATGTCAGGATGATGGGGGAGGTGGGGGAGGGGGACAACTGAGCTACGGAGGCATGAAGCAGAGAGTGAAAGGGTGGGGCTCAGTGTGTGGATATCTTTGATGAGGAGCAGAGAGTGGTGGATTTGGCATTTGACTACAGTGATACCCTGAGCGGGATTAGACCCCAGCGTGTAAGGGTATTTGCCTTTGTTTTCCGTGATCCTTTGTGCTGCGTGCATTCTAGTCCCCCTCGTCTGTCTGTTTGCTTGTCTGGCACTAAGCTGGGGTAATACCATGGACAAGTGGATTTAAATGGCTGAATAAATTGTATGTATGGTATGTAGATGACTCCTGTTGCATGCGGGCACACACGGGACTCGCTGCTGCCTACAGTATAGCAGCATTTTCTGACAACTGGTTCTATGATCTGGGCTTTGCTTAACACTGAAACGTGACGAACAGGCTCTCTGTTAGTTTTACATGGATGTAGAGATCCATGCTGCGTAGACAGGTACACATATAGGAAGGTAAATTAAAATGGTGACTAAACTACAGCAGCTCAATTCAATTAAAAAAAAAAAAAAATGAGGGAAAAAAAATTTGAAAGCCACAAGGGTTTATGGCAGTGGCCAACCCATTACTGACCAACAGTTTCCAACAGCACAAGGCACATTATGTCAGAAAGTGCACATGCATTGGTCAGTTTATACACAGTTAACAAAACACATCTTTAACCCTGGCTGCTCACTAGTCATGTGGCTTCTTGATGGCATTAGCTTAAAGTACCCGAGTGCACCCATCTTTAGTGTCAGGCTGACCAAGATCTCTGCGTTTTGCTCATTAATCACTTTAGAGCTGAAGTTAAAGACACCTTGTATTAAACTTTTGACTTTTTGACATAAACCAGCAAAAAAGAAAACCTGATAGCCGAATGGTCAGGGCGCATAGCACATGGTCTCAAATACCCTGAGCAGTGAGTCCTAGGTTTGACTCCCGACCGGCTGGACGGGCTGCATGTCATTGCCCTACTCTCTCTCCCTGCATTTCCTGTCTATCTCCACTGGCACTATCTAATAAAGGCACAAAAAATCTCTCTGTGAAACATGTGTGAAACCTTGTCAATATTATCCAGTCTACTCGAGAATCGACTTTTGACAGTGGAGGTGCTGCTGAGCCTTTAGTATTTTCACCGCCGTCAAAGATGGTGGAGTCGTTGCAGAAGGTTGTCTAGGAATATTCTGCTAAGGTGAAACTACTGGGCAAATGCTGTTGATTTTTATTTGTGGACAAATTTCCAGCGGCTCCCGTCTTGAACCGATTTTACTGACATTGTCAATTTCGGCAGGGAATCGTAAACATGCAAACATCCTTATGTGTGTATCATATGTTGGCCCACGACGACTCTAGTATCACAACACAACTGATTCAGAAGAAAATCACCTTTAATACACCCCACCACTCCACTGGATATACAGTGTTGAGCGCATGTGGTTTTTCAGCACATTTTTCCTACTATGGGCTAATGTGATTCGCCGATCGGCAGAAAATGAATCAACAACTATTTCCGTCAATGATAAATTGTTTTCAAGTAAAAATACCCAGGATTCTCTGGTTCCAGCTTCTCTGCTGTGACATTTTCTGATTCCCTTTGTCTTATACTGATGCTTGGCTTGTGGGCTGTTGTGATGGTCATTTTTTCATGGTTTTGTAGACCAAATTTATCAAGATAAATCTGCAGGAAAAATCATAATTAGTTGCAGAATCTAAATTAAATAATTATGTTAATTAATAATTATTATTTCTATGTTTAAATATAGCATTTTGCTTGTCGGTTCTGTCCTTAACAATATTTGAGACGCCACCAAAATACCTATCTGAAGACAGTTTTACTATTAGACCTTGATATACCTGTCACTGCTTGTA